TAGGGGGCGGCCCGGGGGGGTCTCACGGACACACACTCACCCGGCCCGGGGGTGGCTGCCTCCCGCCAGGGTGCGATGAAAAACTCTCTCCCCAGATGTGCGAGAAGTTTACCGTCTGTGAGAACAGCATGGAAATGCTCCTCCAGAACAACCTCAACCTCCCCAAGCTGACAGAGGAAGATGGGTGTCTGCTCGCCGGCTTCAACTCGCTCTCCTTTCTGGTCTAATCCTATATACCTGGGGCAATTTTTGCCTGCTCCAAAAAACCGCAATAAGTCGACCTAAAGATTTGTGTCAGCTCCAGCTGGCTTTGACATGGCACAGACCTCCGTGCCCTCTATAAGCATCATCCCCTTACCTGCTCTGTATGCGCAATACTGCGACCGAGGCATTTCTGAGCTGTAAGTGACTTTCTCACCTTTCTCTGATTTCAGGATAAATGCTTGAAGAAAATCTCCAGCGGGCTTTATACATTTCAGCCATACCTTAAATACGTACAAGAAACTTTTACTAGTGAAAAGCAAAATGTTGAATTGCTGTGCCGTTCGACAGAGCGCCTGGCACATAACATAAGGCAGATGGTGAGTTGGTTTGACATTCATTCTGCTAATTGTTAGCACTGATGTGTAGTCAAAGAAATAGGATGGTATGTGAAGTTTAACATTTCCAGTTTTCATTTCTCTCAGCAGAAACAGGTAATGGTTCCTTATGCTCAGATAATTACCCTTATGACTAACTCAGAGGTTGTACAAGGTTTTGTTTTCTTTTCTTAAAGAAACAACTCTTCTTCCTACTTTCTATTGTTGCTTCTAACTTCCTAACCAACAATTAAACACATCGTTGTTTTAAGAACAAATACATTAAAGCTGCCAGGCTGACAGAAATAAAATTTCTCAGGGAGCATGTTCCTGATTGTGGAACTGCAGTTCAGTCCAAGCCTTCTAATATTGCAGTCCCCTGAGAAGTAGAAATAAGTAACTTTTTAAAAAACCCTACAAAAATAAAAGCAAATACATTTTTACAGTATTATTAATCTTTAAAACTCTCCAAAACAAACTTCTAAGCCAAGCTGTAGCTTAAAAATCAAGGAAAACAGTTAAATTTGGAACATAAGTTAATAACCTAAATAAAAGGTGCTACCTATTGAAAAGCACACTTTTTGCTTGTAATCGTCATGAAAAAAAAAAATCTTTCTTTTAAAATACCAGATTCACTTTTGACTCGGTAAACTAAATTTCTGACAGTCATTTTCTATGTTTTGGAAAGCTCTGAAAGATCACACTTCAAAAATTCACTCCGTTCCTGCAGTTCTTACTCACGTTAATAACCCTTAACATGAATACTTCCTTTGTTATCAGGGAAACTATTTGCCTGAGTAAGAACCACCCAGGTGAGTAAGGACTGCAGAAATCTCAGGGCATTATTTCCTTCAAGTATTTTTTGGCATCCAAAAAGTCCATTGTGTGTTTGCCATACCTTTCCTAACATATTTATTTATGCCCATCATTCTTTAAGTGAAAGGGAGCTGAACTGCTTTTTTCACGCTGTACTAGCTAAGAAGAATAGTCCCGTCATAAGACAGCAACCGATCACTGGCTTCCAAATTGTTGTATTAGTTTGCAGAAAGTTTGTTTCCTAACTAGAGGAGGCCAGCTTTTTTGGGAAAATTAGTAGGATCGAGATAATTGGAACAGGCAGAATTAAACACAGTGATCAAAAGCAAAACCTATAATTGCAGGGAGTTTTTGAGAGAGGAGTCTTGATCTCCAGGTTGGCAATTTTTCTTTACAAGAGCAGTCTATCTACTATTCAAGGCAAGGAGCGCAAGGACAGAATCTGTCACTTGTGGTCAGGTAAATCCATCAGCACAATACCTGTCTGGATATCCAGATACAAACTTGTACAGTGTGCAAGAGGGAGTTGGATATACCAGTAACCGGAGGTGTGATCAGAATCCACTTCCAAGTAGTCTAGACAGAAAGAATATTCGTATCTTACTGAATTTCACCAAAACCAGATGTTCCAGAAGGAGGCACATGTCCTTTTGTCACTTGTTAAAGGGTAGCAGAGACCCTAAAACCAGGAAGAAGCAGATAGTTTACTGTTAGACTTCTAGACCTCAAATCATCTAAAACAGGTCCGTGATTTGGGTGAGTAACTCTCATTTTCAGAGGTTGCCTACCCACTTCACGGCACAAGCTCTTAAAAGGCACTTGGGTAGCAGGTGCCCGGCGCCGCCAGTCAGCGTTAGGTACGCAGCTCCTTTTACTCATCTCACAGTTAGGATCCCACGCATCAGTGAGAGCTGGTGACAGTCTCCCATGTGCCTAAATACCTGGAAAGTAAGAATTAAGCAGCTAAACAAGTTTGACGTCTTCGGAAACTGTTCATCTACTACAAAATGTGAGAGTACTTCAATGTCATCTAATTAACTTATGACTCAGGATGTAGCAGCCAGTACAGGTTAGGACAAACTATTTGCATCTTCCCACCTAACCACGCCATCAGAGGATAGCAGAAGAGCTGCGTCAATCTGTTCCGCGCAGCGTGTCGGATCGCGACGCCAGACGTTGCATTCAAGCCGGAACAGCATAGATCAGACGAGACCCTCCGATTCTTCCGCAGCAATCACAGCGGGTGCCACGTACCACAAACCCCACCGTAGAAGCAGGGCTGTAGGAAGCCCAGGTCGTCTGCAGTAGAGAAAGGGTGGATACACAGCTGGTCTGGAACAGATTACAGATATAAGCTGATGTTCTCCAACAAGCTCAATTACAACGTTTTAACTGGGGCACCTCAATATTGTCTTTTTCACAGGTGATCAATCCCGATGAAGTGATCATCCCAGACTCAGCTACCCAGGAATCCCTCCGCGCAAAGCTGAAGTCCGACAAGACCTGGATAGAGAAAATCACCACCCACCTCATCCTCCGAGACTATACTTCGTTTATGGAGAAAACCGTGAGGGCCATTCGCTATTTGAAAAATACCAGGAGTTTCAGTGTCTGAATGTTTTAATTCAGGCACAATCCTTTGTCACAAATCTGTCATGTGGCAGATGACAGTGTTGTTCTATTTTAAGAACCAGAAATAGTAATAATGATTTGCATTTATATACATTCTCATTTCCTTCTGGGAACCTATTTATTGTATTTAAAATATTTATTTGTAATGTTTCCTATTTATATTTTTCACACTTCATTAGAAATGAGACAAAATATGTCCTTTGTTTAAATTATTTCTCATTTTTAAAAAGGATATATTTTATTTCCTTTCTAGTGGTACTATTCAGAATATCAACTTATTTAACATATATTCAACAAAAAAATAGTTTCAGAAGCCAGAAAAACCGTTGTATAACTTATGCTTTTAAAATATTTGAGATGGTATTTATGACTTTTTTATATTTTTAGAACAAATAAAAGCTGATTTAGAAAAACCCAACTGTATTACCTGTTTGAACTTTAAATAAGACTAAGGAACTCTAATGTATCCAATTTTTAATACCTACAATTATCAAAATAATCACTTTCAAGACTTTAATCTGTATCATTAAGGTCAGTTATCCACATAGCGCATCCATACACACATACGCAGGCAGCTTCACGAACATGTAACTCTTAAAAGGGGATATGAAGGAACTAGATGCACTGAACACGGCACTTAACAGACACAATAAACCATCATCGCTCTTGAGAAACAAATGAACAATGAGTCCCCTATATTTAATAAGGAACACTCCATAAAATTGTAATTGTTTGTAAGCATCTGCTTACAGGTCAAGGAATCTTTTAAACAAATAAAATTATAAGATAGCACATTAATGGCTTTGACACAAATACCATCATCTGATTAGACTTACTGCTGTCATCCAAGGGACTTTTCCAAGTTTGATTAAACATCTTACCACCCCCCCCCCATTAGGTTCTTTCCTTAGGTGATATACATCAACATATTGCTGCTGAGATATCAATGACCATTGATGACCTAATGCATTTGTCTTTTGTCATTTACATTCCACTACCAGACAGGCCACATAACATGAATGCATATTCTTGAATACTGTAGAGGAAAAAAAAAAAAGCACCAAACCAAAACAGGTCCTTAGCCTCAGTACCAAACCTCTGAAACGTTCCTTGGCTGTACGTATCATCTACTTCCTTGTGGCTGTGCAGGTACCTCCTATACCCAAACTCAGAAGAATTCACAGCACACAAAGGATGCAAGCAGCAGGAGCCCCTGAGCTTTGTCCCTACAAGTGGTGGAACATTAATTACCCTCTCTCTTTCATGAGGCACAGTGGTGCAGATGAGGAGATCAAAGGCAAGCCCTGGAATGTGGATAAGGATGTCAGTAAATTCTCCTCTTCCTCTGAGCGATGTGATCATCCACACAACACATTCCACCGCTGGGGATACCAAAACAGTGACCAGTCCACCCAGAGCCCACATCTCAGACACTCAAAACAAAACACACCACTTCTTTGCCCAATATGGTAAAACCAACATCATGAGTTGTGCAACATCTCAAGAAGGAATGAGGAGACCTCAAGGTGGTCACTTTCAAGATGTGGTGAAGGGGTTTTTCCCCTCTGCGCAGAAGATCCTGCTTTAGCTGTCCTGGCACGTGCCCTAGAAGACACAGGAAAACCTGGTTTGGCTTTTTCACAGCTTACTTTCACCAAGATTTTCTGTGTGGCCACTTGGTTAGAGCCCATTCTGGCCTTTATTATGTCCGTAATAGCTACGAGACCCAAATAAAGATCCCGCATTGGACCTTTTAAGGACTTTATTATTACTATGTGAGAACAGCGTGTGTGAGGAAAGACAGACCGACTGACCAAAAAAAAAAAAAAAAAAAAAAGGCATCTTCTGGTCTCACCTCTCCCAGTAGCGGGTGGCTGCCTGAGATCACCATCAGTTACTGTGTACACTGCAGCTACACTAACTCACACTGATTTTCTCCTTGAATGCCAGGAAGCATCTAAGATAAGGGGTACGGAAATCTTGTGCAACTGATAGACAAGCGCCCGCACTTCCCACTGGCACCCCTCAGATGGTGGCCACCCCAGGTCGTCTGCAATTCTAGTAAAGATGTAAATGCTACTACATTTTAGGATGTAGATGATGAGCAAAGGTTACCGCTTGCTGAGTGGGGAGGTCAACTTTCAAGTCCTTCCTGGAGTGAAGGTATCGCTGATGCTGCCATCATTTTACCTGCGGCTCCTCCGCAGCCACCCGCAATTCTTCAACGCTGCAGGTGCCTTGCTGGCCACCATTTTGCTGTCACTGTGCCACCATCAGGGACTGCCCCCAGGATAAGCACCGCTTGCTGAAATCCACACGCATTGGGGCTTGTGGCACACGAAGACTTGCAGCAGGGAATTCATATGGAAGTCAGAGAACTAAACACCGTTAAGCACGTTATGTGGCCTCTCAAATAACCAACTTACTGTCCTTTGTTCAGTTTGCTGTGTAGAAAGTATTTTATAACATCAACAGACACTTTAGTTGACAGACCAGCGCAAACATATAAAAAACCAGAACAATAGTAAAACTGAATGTTCCTAACTCTTATAAATCAATCCCCAAAAATAACAGTGCTACTTTTAGCAACAATGAAACACCTCAATGCTTCTATTGAAGAGAGCTCCTCCTCACTGACAGCTAACTCACTGAGCAAGGCAAAAAACAAACAAACAAACAAAAACCCCAAACCCCAAAAGACCTAGTAATAATTGCCTATAAAAACTAGAAAACTACCCAGCAAAGAAGCGTTTTGGCTGCTGCTGTACAGGATCAGTCTCTCTCCGCAGATCCCAGCTGGCTCTTCCCCATTTTCCCACTGCATCCCTACTCGTTAACCTCACACAGAGATTTCGGAATGCTCAATGGATTACTAACTCCCTTCATCCTGAATTTGCTTTCCCAGTGCAGGAAGAGGGTAAAGCTACATTAAAAAGCATGCATACGGTCTACAGTATGCAAGAAAAAACTCATGGTCTTAAGAGAGCATTAAAGATGAGAAACAAAGTATTCCTCACTGCTGTGGATATTACACTAAAATGCTAGATGAGAGAAAAAAAGTAAAAAGAACGCAACCTAATGCTAATTTGTAATGCAAAATTACTTTTTTTTTTTTGCAATGACAGTTTCTGAAGTATATTTTTTTCTATTTTTTTAACCATACTTTTTCCTCAGATGTGCAAGAAACTTAAAAAGAAAAATCCCACAAAAAAATCATTCCAGCCTGATCCACTTTCCAGGTTGCAGTACCATCCCCTGCCCCGTAAGCCTATGTACTGATGTAAATGCTAGATTTTGGCAGAAAGAACAACTACTTGAAAGAGACAATTTGCACCTCTAGTATCTTCACAGAATTTATTAATGGCCGATGGCAAGTGAGGTTAGCAAAACCAGAGCTGATACTACAAGAGATGGAAGAGTTTATGCCACCAGCAAAGCAAGGGGAGCAGTAATTAGCCATCAGGTTGGCTTAGCTTGATGGGAAACTTCCCCCTAAGTTTGGCACTGTATTTGTGATTAATAATCTCTTCCGCATTTGATTTAAAAGATAAAATGCTGGAAAGGTAAGTTAACAATAGCATACATCAAAATCAGATCCTAATGGTCAAGAAGTGCTGCCAAATATAATATATATTACTACAAACCCTGCGACGTTGGGTGAAAAGCTTTCTGTAAACCCTTGCTTCTCCAGTTGAATGATAACAACTTCTGCTCTCTCTCAGTGGATTTCTTTCTCCTTCTGGCTAAGAGGAAAACCCAAACCCACCCCTTACGCCCAGAAAATGCAATCTCTGCAGGCTCCAACACTGCAATACCATTTCGTCCCTGAACTCTTCAGAAAATCAACTAATTTCTGCAATCTAAACATATTTAACCATATCTCGATATACTTTCAAGACTCACCAGATAACACACTACAGAAATTTTGCAATCTGAATTTCTATTCAGTGACATGAATCTAAAAAGATTCAATCTTTCATGAGAAAAAAATTCGAGTTTTAAAAAATTAAACATTAATCTTCAAATTCAGAAAACTGATATTTGATTTCCCTGCCATACTTATTTTTGACAGTGCTTACCTAACACAGTATTTTGAAGATTTTATTCTGTTTCACCTGTAGCGAGTGGAAAATGCTGACTGGTTTCAGTAACAGCAAAAGTATTTATGATTGTTTCTTTATCCCTTTGAACTTAGGTATTAACAGATACAGTTCCACATTCTGTACCATATAAATAGGGACAATATGATGTATAAGCAAATCAAATTAACAGTTTTATTACCCAAAAGAATCACTTAGAGCTGTTACACACACACACAGAGAAGTAAAATCACCTAGGGAAAGCTCAAAAGCCCTGTCCTCAGCTCAAAAGAGAAAACACACGCAGCACGCCATCAACCCTGCGCAGCAAGTCCTTGTCTCCTCTTCCACTTCTAGTAACAATTTGGGGAGAGACGTAGAGGGAAAAGGGATCATATATTGACAATGCCTGCAGATCCCACATTAGCACATGCTAACAGTGAAGTTCAAAGAGGTCTCTCAAATTGTGAGACCTATACCCCTCCTAATCATATAGCACAGTGACCTGGGGCAGGGCTATAAACCAAAATGGAACTTATTAGAAGACAGAGCATTTGGGGTGAAGGCAGATGTACAGGCAACCTTCCAGTCTGGCTGGAAAGAGACTGCTTTCAGGTTGCACTCTCACAAATTGCACCACTTGGGTGGTCTCTATGGGAATAAAGTGGATCCTGAGAAACAGAATTGGAACGTAACTGGAAATCCAGGCTTATCTCACTTCCCAGGCTAATAACTGCTCCCTGCTTTGCAGCTGCTCCAACTTCTTATTTTTGGTAGAAACTTGGAAATGATTTCTTCATCAGAAGAAAGTATAAGAGCAAACACCCTTTTCCACTTTGCAGAAAAGCATCCCCTCTGCCTTAGCCATCCTCTAATCCTGAATTAACATAAGCGTAACCTAGAAACAATGTGTGTAACCCACAGGCTTAACCAAGAAACAGCTATTGCACTGCACACCATCATGGAA